AAAATGTTGAGAAAATAGATGTTAAAATACGCTTTAGGCAGTTTGTTCAACAATACATCAGGGAAACTTCCAAGTCTACATAACAATTACCCGAATGCTGAACATATTATTTAATTGTAGTCCCCCTTGTATTCCATCTGTATTTCTCAAACCCAATCTTTCCAGATGTTTTATTCTGGTTTTATAGGCACCAGACATATTAGGGAGAAGAGATTTTTCAATATATACACATAATATCAAACTCAGTCAATAAACTCTCACAAATATTAAATGTGCATTGCATTTTAAAGACAAGCAAAGGTATATACTGTTAATTGTCATCAAGCTCGTGCTCTCACAATTGTTAACCTTATTGGTTTCTATATTTATAACTACAAAAATGAGCAGATTTGTATGTGTGTGTATGTGTGTGTGCGCTTGGGATTTGGGTTGTGCTTTCATTCATTCCCCTAGACTCCCCAGTTATGGTGGTGGATTTGGAATATTCCTTGCTGCCCATTGCCACTTCCAGATGCGCCCTCTGCCTCTACCACGTAGTAACCTTTCCTCCTTTGAAATTCATTCAATCCATATATACCACCCAGTTGACACTTTGGTAGCTCTTATCTACAGAACCTGAAGACGCTCTTCTTCCTTTAATGAGTTCATTGCCTTGCTCATGGTCTTTCTCTATACCCAGACTCCTGCCCTTATGCTCAAGGGCTTCAGCCCTCTGTCTCTACATACTCATAGTGTCTCAAACACCCTAAATTCCCACTTTCTCAACTTAACTTCTAGAGTGGAGTTTGGAGATTGGAACTTCACTCCTGTTTAACTACACATGGAGATAAATGGTCATGCCCTTGATCTTGACATCGCCCACAAGTATTCCATTTCCATATTCATGAACTTATCACTCCATCTTTAGCTTTCCCTTACAACCCCAGCCATGTTTTTTATCCACACAGTGACCTGCAATCCCTCCACCCATTAGTTCTTTACGAGGCAATCACCTTATACACTGGCTGCATTCTCCTTCCTGCCCTATCTTGATTCCCTTGGTAAACCAGTCCAACTCTACACTGTCCTTTACATTTGAGTCCCTTGCTGCCTCATCCAGTCATGCCTTGGAAAGCCCAACTTTGGATTACTTCTACCATCCACTGCCTTCAATCTTCTTAACATGCTGCTTAGCAGAGCTGGAGAAAATTGCGAAACTGCTGACTGGATCCATTACAAATATTTATCACGTAATCTCAACGTAACCTTAATATAGCAAGGCAGTCCTTTTATACGTCCCTAATTGATTCATTATTCCGCTCACCTGCTTTTCTAAACCTTTTCACCCCTTCTCGAACCTCCCTTTGCATCCCCTCTTCATACATACATACATACATACATACACATACACATTCTCTCTCTCACACACACACACATTCTCTTTCACACACATATATGCACATTCACTTTGTCTCTAACATATACACACTCTCACATTCTCTTTCCCTCTTTCTGCCTTTCCCTCTCTCTCTTCTCTCCCTCTCTCCCCCTTTCTTCTTCTCCTTCTCTCTCCCTTCCTTCTTCCCTCTCTTTTTGCTGGAAACCTTGCTTCATACTTCACTGAAAAATTTGAGGCCAAGGGCTCCTTCCTACTTTCCTCCTTACCTTGGATCACTCAGAAGTCTTCCCTTACTATTTTTTCTTTCATCCCTGTCTTGTACAAAGAAGTGACCTAACTCCTTATCAAGACAAACCTCTCTACAAGGACAAGTGATCCTATTTCATCTCATTCTTTCCAGCAGATTGCCCCTTCTATCAACCCCACTCTCTCACTAATCTTCAATCTCTCCTTGTCTATTATCTGCTTCCCTGCTGTCTACAGACACTCATCTCTCCCATCCAGAAAAACCTCACCTGATTTGTCCATCTCTGTTAAGCTATATTTCTTCTCCCTTTCATAGCTAAACTCCTTGAGGATGTGATCTACAATCAGAATCTCCACTTTCTTCTCCAGTCTGTCTTCTGATCTTATCATTTACCCAGAACTGCTCTCTCCAGAGTTACCAGTGACCTCCTAAATGCCAAATTAAATGACTTTTTCTTAATCTTTATCCTTCTTGAACTCTCTGTAGCCTTGAAAACTCTCAATAACCCCTTTCACTTTATATTCTCTTCTCTCTGGGTCATTGTGACATTTTTCTTTCCTGGTTCTCCTATCTGTCTGCTCCTTTTCAATCTCTTGGAGGATCTTCATCTAGGTCAAGGCCATTAATCATGAGTGTCCCCAAGGCTGTGTACTGGGTCTTCTGTTCTCCCTTAATACTATTTCCCTTGGTCTCATTAGCTTCCATAAATTAAATCATCTCTATGCAGACAATTCTCGGATCTGTTTATCCAGCCCTAACTTCTCTCTTGACAACCAGTCTCACATCTCCAATTGTCTATTGAACATCTCCAATTGGAGGTCCTGTAGACATCTTAAAACTTAACATGTCCAAAGTTGAACCCATTCTCTTCCCCACCCCCTCCTAAACCCTCCTGTCTTCCAAACTTTCCTGTTAGTTTCAAGGAGACTACCATCTTCCCAGTTATCCAGTGTTGTGACTCTTCACTTGACTCTTGATTCTTCCCTTTCTCTCATCCCCACATGCAGTCTGTTGCCAAGTGTTGTTGATTCTACCTTTTAAAACATCTTCCATGTTTCTCCTTTTGTGCAGCATGACTGCTGCCTGGTACAAGCCCTCATCACCTCACACCTAGACTGGATTGCAGTAGCCTTTCAGTTGGTCTCCCTGCCTCAAGTATCTCTCCATTCCAGTTTGTCCAACACCTACCTATCAGAGTGATCTTCCTAAAGTGCAAGTTTGACTGTGTTGCATCTGGACTGCTCAGTAAACTTCGTCGGCTCCCTATTTACCTTCAGCATCAAACATAGATCCTCTGTTTGGCTTTTAAGCCCTTTATATCCTGGCCCTTTCTTAACTTTCCAGCCTTCTTCTACTTCTTCCCTCCAAATATGAACCAGTGACATGGGCTCTTTGCCGTTCTTCACACAAGACATTCCCTTTCTATATTCCATATCTTCTTATTGGCTGTCCCTTATGCCTGGAGTGTTCTCCTTCATCTCCCTGGCTCCCTTCAAGTCTCAGCTAAAATTCTGTCTTCTCCAGGAAGCCTTGTCCTATAGCCCTAAATGCAGAATGGAGCAGATAAGCAAGGTGAGTTCAAAAGGCTTTTTTGGAGCTGAAGACATACATGAGAGTAAGCCTACAGAGAGGTTTGTGTGGTCACCTGTATGCAGGGTGCAGTCTTAAGGCTAGGCCTCCAATAATCTGCATCCTGTGAAAGAAACATAAAGATAATACAAAAAAGACAGGCTGTCCAAAACCATGTGCATATGGAAAAGTAAGATAATTTGTCAAATATTTACCTTAAAAATAGAATGTGTTTCCAATTTTGCTACAGTTTCCTGTGACTGCTTGTCGCAATTTAATACCCATAGTAATATTAACAAGTTGCTAACATAGAATAAAATTGTATGTTTCCTTCATCTCCGGCCACCAACAGAATCTTCTTTATGAGTAAATTCTTATGGCTCCTCTGAAGTGTTTAGTAGATCACAGGATAGGGAATGCCCTTTACTTCTGAGAAAAAAGAACAACAATTTTTCCCCATTATATTCTGCCCTGATTCTGAAAAATGTTTCCCCAGTGGCCCTGCTTTCTTCCAGGTAGTCTCCTGAACCAATAGGCAAGAAATTTATGGGCAGGAGGTCTTATATTTCTGACAAAATCCCATTTGTACGTATTTTTCCTTTTTGTTATTCCAAGGAAGAGACTTAAGACTGTGGGGAAAATGGAATAGGGCCACCACTTCTTACCTTATTATTGGTCTTAATTTTGGGAAATCTGCAGTAAAAATGGAGAAGAAATATACAGCAATGGAGTCCTGGGACCTCCCAGCCCTACTAGGATGCAAATCATTTAATATTGGTACAAATGATTTAATGGGAATGCAGTGAGGTTTCCTTGTCCAAACAGTTTCCATTCCTATTACTTCCATATAGAGGAAGGGAAAAAAGTCATTCTATATAACTCTATGGGATAATTATCATGGAGTTACATATGGTAAACACCAATCTGGCATTGTAATTTACAGTGGCCATACGAATATTCATGGTGGAGGGGAGGAAGCATTGGAGTGGAAGCGATACCATTGCTAATTACAAAGAAAATACAAAATCTCTTGAACTGAAGATTGTTGCAGATGGCTACATTTGTTTAATGGTATTCAAAGCTGCTTAGATAGATTGTGGGCAAGGAGAAATGTGTTTTATGGGAAGTATAACTTTCATTCCCATACAGGAACAGTCTGATTATAATGTAATTCTGAATTTTTTGAGATAATTCACTGGTCATACTGGTAATACATTTATGATTCCTGTATGAATCTTTTCTTAGTATTATACCAATCCTTTCATGTCATAATGGAGTGATTAACAAACTTTTTGTTAAGGTTGTGTGACAGCCTGCCAGTTCTTCTGCAAGCTTGGTTCCTGTTGTTAAAATTTACAGGATCATGTACTGTTGAAAGTGGAAGACAGTTCCCAGAGCTTCTCAGTCAACTCCTTTGTTTTACAGATTAGGAAACTGAGACCCAAGGATGTTATGACTTGCTCTATGGTTGCATGGTCTTTGTCAGTGGCAGAGCTATGACTATAAGTAGGGTTTTTCCATGTGATTTTAGGGAATGGACTTTTCATAAATACTGAGGTGATCTTAAACTTTCAGAAAAGAAAAAGTAACTCATATGTTAGTTTGATGAGTCTTTAAAATATTTCTATACCTCTTTATGTGTTATTTGTGACTAGGAAAGTAAGAAACCATTTTTTTCTCAGTGAAATGTCTCACTTGCGTAATTAGATAAATTCTGAAAGCTAACATGCATATCAGGTACTTTTGAGTTTCTTTTGGGTTATACCCATAGCTCTGATTTTCTTTTTCCTCTTTATTTTAACCTAGAAATTGGAAATAAGAAGTTTTATAAGTACAGCAAAGAGAAAACATTGAAGTGGCTGAATAAAAAGGTATAGTTTTTTTTTTAAGCATTGAATGCCTGCCTGTTTAAAGTGAGAGCATTAATATAACAAGTTATTTGATTTGAAACAGCTTTGTAGAATGAACTGAGCCAGAAAAGCTACATGAGAATTGCCAAGAATGATCCAATTAAAAGCATATTAATAATAATTGTGCATTTCTAGAGTTCTTTAAGGTTTGCAAAGCACTTTCCCCACAGCAGCAGTATGAATTAGGTAATGGAAATATTATTATTCTCATTTTACTGGTGAGGAAATTGAGACTCAAAGAGGTTAAACCACTTATTCAAGGTCACATAGCTAGAAAGCGTCAGAACAAGGATGACAACTTAAGTCTTTCCTCTGTCCAAGTCCGACACTGGGCGAGACTTCCTCATGCCATCTAGACAGAAACATACAGACAAATATGACAAGGTTCCCTTGTAAAGTGGGGCGGTTTGAATGTGGGCAAAGTGGTGAAAAATATTTTTATTAACCTGGAAAACAGTGAGTTCAAAGTCTAGTTAAACAAATAAAAAAACCTCAACTTACCTCTATGAGTTAATAAGTATGAAATAAAATGCAATTCTAGTAACCTTTTATTGAATTAAAATATCACACTATTTTTAAATTCACTGTAGTTCAACTAGTTGATAAACATTAGTCAGTAGATATTTACTAAGCACCTACTATGTGCCAGGCATCATGCTAAATTCAAGATATTTTTCACTTAACTATAATTGTTATGTCCTCTTTTGGACAAGTACTGGCCCATTTGTAGATGATTATATAGTTTCATAAGATTTATCTTTGTCTTCATATCAACCGTAATAAAGACGTGCTATAATTATGGCTAAAGATGCAGCTGGTTAATGAAAATCAAAACAATGAACAAATATTTACAGATCTATTAGTTAAGAGTCTAGGTTACATTTCTGCTCCCAAGGCTGATTGTTTATTCGTTGTATTTTATCTTAATTAGAGTCATTCATATGCTCAGATTTCTCATGAGGATGCTTCACTTTCACAGACCTGCCTAGCATTTCCTAGAAAGGACCCAGACTCATTCAATACAATTTGGTTCTCATACATGTAAAATAGCAAGTAAGCAGTAGAAACAGGATCTTGATTCAGGTTGGGAGACGATATCCAAGTAGATAGGTCTTGAAGGAGATAAAAGATATGGGAGGAATCAAGTCTAGAAATGCAAGTTACTCCCTTTAATAGTAGTTTAGTCATAAGAGTATGTTTGATATACTAAATATAACTAGCCTTAAGTTGTGGAAGCCATTGGCAACTAATTGATATTAGTTCTAAAAGATCATGTACTGATACTGCCAGTTGGTCTTCAAGCCCTACCTGGATCAGTTTTTATCATTATTATTGTTATTTTTGTCAGAAGCTAACACAGGTATCTGTTCTATCTGAACTCCTGTCATCTTATTCCACATCACTAAATCTAAGAATCTGGGGTTCTTTATACAAGTATGTATCTGCCATGTCAGAGAGCATCGGTGTTTTCTTATTTTATACACTATTGGTAGCCTAGCAAATAAGCACAAAGTCAGGCTGTTGCTGTAAGAAATCAGTCATTTATCAGACATGTCCTGTGGAGACAAGCCTGAGAAGGGTGGATCTTTCTTTTATTAGTTTAAACACCGTAGGATGGCCTTTATTAACACAGTCTTAAGTAAAGCTTGTTTGCCCAGCAGAAATATATGAGTGGCAACAATGACCTTGTGATCCTGAACTAGGGGGTCTAAACGCGTTTTGAGTCGTGTACTCCGTTGGCAGTCTAGTGAAGCCTGTGGACCCCTTGTCAGAGAGAAGTTTTTAAATGCATAAAATAAAAGACATAGGATTACAAGGGAAATTAATTGTATTGAAATACAGGATCAAAATATATGGGAAAAAAAAGTTCACAGACTCCAGGCTAAGAATTGCTGTCCTAAATATTAAGTTTGAATTAGTCAGTGCATCCAAATTTGCTACAAAAATTTGCCCAAGACAGAAGTGTTGAAGACCATCCTTTTTGAGGTCTCCAGGACCAGTAAGAATTTAGTGCTTCTTGTGCTTCTACATTTTATGTGCATAATTGTGCCTGTGACAGTATAAAATAGGATAGGTGCCCTTTGAGTCTAGATAATGTAAATTGACCTAATGAAACTCTAGCCAATGTCCTGTCAGCCTTAGAAAACGGTGAGATGTTACAAAATAGATCACTGATTTTTCGCTTTTAATTTTGCTAGATTATCATGGCAGTGCCTTATACGATTTGCAGCATTCCCCAGCTCTTTTATGTATGGAATAAGAGCTGATGAAAATGTTCGAACAGAATCTTGGTGCCTCATCTAATACCCCCTTACTCAGTCCTTGTTAATGGTTTAAGTGAATTTATATTTATTTCATTTATTCTCTTGTTTCTTTGAGTAAGTAGAGGTTCGTGCTTATTGCACTTAGGGAAATTTTTAAGTTAGAGTTTTAGATTATACATATATTAGGAATAAGCTGAAGTGTTATCATTTCTCTATAATTTTCTTCTGAGTCTAGAGTCATCTTTGATCTTGTGGGGTACTCTACAGGTATTTATAGAACCCAAAACACTCATTCCTCAGCCCCTTAAATAGTGACTTAGGCTTTTACAAAGCCTTATGTTATTTTCTTCCTCAGTCTTTGTGGAATAGTTTTCCAAATTGGAAAGGGTCAAGTGTTCTTTTAGTTGGCACTGATTTCCTTCATTCCTCCCATTTTTATCATTCTGTAGGTGGGTCAGACTGTGAGAGCTTTAAAAATTGGCAATGTAAATGTAGGTGCTCGAGTATCATCTGCCACGTTTGTCCCAGGTGACCATGGCTCTGATGTCAAAGAAGGTAAGTTCATAGAATCATAGATTAAGGTTAGAAGGGACCGCAGCTACCTTCAGATCTATCCCTTTATTTTAATGATGAGGAATCTGAGATACAGAGAAGTTAAATGACTTCCTCAGGATCATGTGGCTGGTAAGTGCCTGAGATGGGACTTGTATCTGAGATATTGCAGAAGCAACCATCTTAGAATAGAATAAGATGCCGGCACCTCAATACTTACCTGCAAATTTTTAAAGCCTTTGATTTTTATTTTTATTTTATTTCTGATATTTATTTCTTTTGTGCCAACATGTAACAAGGATGTAATTTTTTTTTCTGATTCAAGTGACATTTCTGCTTCAGACTTCCTTTTATTAATGTTTGCTTAAATGATAAAAGCTTGACTTAGATTCAAAACTAGTGTACTTAACAGAAAAATAGGGCACTTTTTCAATTATACATGCATGATTATTGTGTATTCTAATTGAAAAAAATAAATAAGTTTACATGTTGAGGACTCAAATCACACCTTCCAAGGATGGTATGAGAGAGCTGGGTATGTTCAATCAGAGAAGAAAAGACATGGTAGCTGTCTTCAGAAATATGAAAGTTTTTCATGTGGAAGACTTTCTGCTTTGAAAGCAGAAAGAACAAAAGAGTAGCAGTTACAGAGTTAGATTTTATAACATAAAAGGATTTAAAGCTAGATGGGACCTTATAGATTAAGATGTCCAGCAGAGGTGAGGTGACTTAGTAAGTAATGGAGGCAGGCTTCAGATCTGGGTCTCTTGATGCCAGATGTAGTGGTTCAGTGTAAGGAAAAATAACAATTATTGCTGTCTGAAAAGAAATTGGCTACTTCACAGGTTGTGAGTTTGTTCTTCACCACTACAGTTTTTCAAGTAGAAGTTAATGAACCATTTATTTTAGATGTCATAGATGGGAGTAATGCCTTAGATATGAATTAAATTGGGTCATCTAGATGAACATCTTTATAGAACATAAATCCCTTGAGGACAGGGGCCATTTAGTTTCCATCTTTGTATTCCCATTTCCTACCATAGTGCCTGGTATAAAGTAGACACTTAGTAAATGCTTGTAAAAGTCCGCTGTTCAGTGATTATGCTTCTCTCAAGCTATATAATGGATTAATGGGTTGGCCACCCACTCCGCAAGACCTCACATCTCTCACCTGCTCGCTCCCTGGACTGGCTTACTTCCAGTCTGCCTTTTCACAAGCAGGTTTAGGTTCCCAGAAAAGGACTTCCACCAGTTATACTCCAACTATCTGAGTCCTAGGAGTCACTCTGTTGTGAGGGAATATATTCCCCCTATTCACCACTCTAGCTCTTGAATCCTCATGATGTATTTCTATGTACACAATCACCACTCACAGTAATCACACTTTTAGATTTTATGAATACTCGTTTATTTAGCAGTAAGGCAAAAGACATAATAATAACTTACATATTAAAGCAAATAATATATCACAGTCCACAAATAAACCTGGGTTAACCCCACCAAAGCACTTGGGTTTCTGTAGAGGAAGAGTGGGCCTACACAGAAATTTGCAAAAAAGACACATAAGTGAGGAGAACACATGTACTCAGGGTTACTCACTATTCTAGAACTGTAAACCTCAGTATCCTCATTGTCTTAAGAACTGTCCATAAGATTTCCTTGATGAATGTAGCTTTTATATGTTAAATAAATGCTTCCACTGCTAAACTGGGTTAATCTACATCAAGGGTGGGGAACCTGCAGCCTCAAGGCCCCAGGTGGCCCTCTAGGTCCTCAAGTGAAGCCCTTTGACTAAATCTAAACTTCACTAAACAAAGCCCCTTAATAAAAAGATTTGTTCTGTAAAACTTGGACTCAGTCAAAAGGCTTCTCCCAAGGACCTAGAAGGTGGCGTGTGGCCTCAAGGCCACAGGTTCACCACCTCTGATTTGCACTGTCTTTGGTAAACAACTCACTGGGCACTATGTCTCAACTAAACTAGTTGGTCTGCTAAGTGACTTCTTTGATTCTCTGCTTTCAGTCTGTTCTCCAGCTCAGCTAGACTTAATCCTTAACATAACTGTAGTATCCATCATTTCCAGCTTCAGACCTAGCTGACACAGTTCTAAAATCTGTTCTTTCATCTCTATTTTTTCTTGTCTTTCTGGGTTCAAGCTCTCCATCCTTTCTGCAAATGACTCTACCTAAGCTTGTGATTAGTAGCAATAGAATTATAGAACCCAGGATTCTGGGTCTGGGAGGAAACTTGGAGAACATATAGTGCAACCTCCTTACTTCATACAAGAGGAGACTGAAGCCTATAATTAAGTGTGAGGTTTGGATAGATACCTGCCAAACAATATTCTTTCAATTCCTCCATCTCCTTATTTGATATTTAGAAAAGTTATACTTACCTGTATGTTTATACAATGTGATTAGTTTCTATAAATCTCAAGACTATACACAGAGGCCATTGTGCCATTTTCCCTTTGTATGACTCAAATATGTACAGCTTGAATCATTTAATATAAAAAGAAATTTGAAGAGTAGTTCACAGTATAATAAATGGCAGTCATCTTACAAACATTCCTTGCACAGTCTGCCAGCCAGTACCATGCTAGAAGTGGTGAGTGAGGTTCCAGGTATTTCTGTGACCGGTGGGAAAAGGGTACTCTTTTCTTGTACCCTGAACTCTGATTTGGAACATATTGTTTTACTATTTTTCACTCAGATTTAGAGCTGGAAGGGACCTTAGAAGGTTCTCCTCATTTTACAGAAGCCCAGGTTAATTAAATTGCCTGAAGTCTCATAGTTAATATTGGTAGCACAATCGGCACTTGGGCATCTGAATCCAGATCCAGTTCTTTCTGCTGTAGGATGCACTGACCCTGTTCCCCTCTGGGTTAAGCTGATCCTGAAAATCTCTTTCCCCTAGGCATCAGTAATCCTAAAAAACAAGATGACTTCATTTCTGATGTGGTTTTAAAAATCATTTGGGAAGGACCCTGGAGTCTACAGGGGTCTTGATGTGGATGAAGGAGTCTTATATTTCAGCTTGCAAATAAACATCCAGCTTACAAGTGAACTTTTGGAATAGAACCTCAAAGTTGGGGAGTGCCTGTAGTTCAAAATAATTTCCCAGGTAACAGGAGAAAGATGAAGACACTTTTTGTACTCCTCATACATCATTTAGTTTTTGTTTTTTCATTGTGTAATTTGGAGGCTCTAGGGAGGGTAGAATAATGCTACTTATGCTTATTTTGAATGTTTGTTAAAGGTTACCTCTGAATTTCATAAAGAGTGAATGGCTTAATTAAGGAGTTTAAGAAATCTTATCACTCATTTTGGAATGAGGCTATGGAAAATTACTTTTACACTCAGGAATTTTATTTAAAAAAACAACAACACCCAAGAACCTTCCTTTTTTCTTTTTTGGGTATTTTAAAAAATATTCATTAGGCCATTGGTAGTCATATAAAAAAAAATACCGAACCAGTTTAAGTACAGAAAAGTGGTAGTTCACAAAAGAATATGACTTCTTAATGTTTGTATAATGCAGTGAGAGTTCCTTAAAGTGACCGTTGTTATCCATATAAGAAAACAGTCACGTTGAAATGCTCACCACCCATATGTGCAGGGGTGGCTGAAGAGACCTTTCGTCATTGCTGCTTTTCAGACTAAACTCCTTTTAGGGAGAGACAGTGTCTCAGATTTCTTTTAATATTCCCCAGAGTGCCTAGCAGTGTTCTCAACCCTTAAGAGGAGCCCAGTAAATCTTCAGTGTAGCTGCTGTTGGCAGACAGCATCACAGGCGATATGTCTTTGGTTCCCAAGGTCATTTTGGCTTGTCTGCTGCTGCTGTCTCCTCATGTGTCACAGCTCTGCAGCATCATTGAAATTTGTGCAACTTGGTGGCACAGAAGAAAGAGCACTGGACTTAGGAGTGAGGAAGATGCGAGTTCACATCCTGTCTCAGACACTTAGCAGCTCTGTGACTCGGGCAAGTCATCTGTAAAGTGAGGGGGTTCAACTTGTTGGCCTCCACGGTCCCTCCCAGCTCTGCATCTGTGATCTGTGATTGAACCGCCCACTGTGATGATAGCTACAGTTTATGTATCAACACATGTGAAAACAGAAGAGGGAGGGGGTGCTTTGGAAGAACTTGATGAGATCCACCAAGCCAAGTCACTATATGCCATAATATACTCAATGTGAAAGTGGTCACAGGTGGAGTTTGGCAGAAACTGTCAGGAAATAAGAGCCTCTCTGCTTTGAAAAATGGGAAATGACATTGATTAATTCATCATTTCTTATGAACATTTAACTCATGCAAAAGCGTTGCTACAATGAGGAGGTTGAAGCATATCTTTTGAAACCTGAACCCATTTCAACCAAGACATTTAATCTCCTTGCCAAGTGGAGAGCATGATAGAGCAAGCCTTTAGTTCAAATCTTGACTCTGCTAGGGGGCAGTGAGGTATGAGAGGGGTGCCGGTTCTAGAGCCCGATGACCTGGATTCAGACCACTCTCCCAATGTTCATTACATGGGTGTGGCCTCAGGCAAATAATTTAACTTCCTTGGGCCTTGGTTTCTTCAACTGTAGAATGAAGGGCGTGAATTTGATGACTTCTTATCTCCTTTCCACCTCTAAGTCTGTGATTTGCTGCCTCATTTCCAAAGCTTTACAGGGAATAAAGCCAGAAGGTTTTTAAGTAGCAATGCCTAACAGAACAGTGGAAAAGCCAGATTATGCCCTGACAATTTGTAAGTAACAATGGGAGGAAAACAAACAGATGTAAAACGGGACAGGTTGGCCAGTGTGTTTATATGGATCTCTTCACATAATCGCAACAGTAGAACCACATTTGGATGCAATCATCTCAGTGTCCAGTGTGTTATTTGAAGCAGTATCACTTCAGAGAGTAAAGTCAGGACGAATGGCTAGGCCTGGCTAAGTACTTAAAGAAGAAATGTATCCTAGAGATGACACAATTTAAAAGGTACTTGGATCAATTCTCAGGATCTCTAAAAGAGGGAGAGATTCTAAAGAAAACATCACATTAAAAAGATAAGTGACCAGGAAAACCTCAACTATCAGTCAAGATACCTGCATTCTCATCTCTATAAAATTTTAGGATGATCTGTGCATTGAGGGCCTCTTGGAGGAAAACATGAGAAGGGAATAAGCAGGCTTTTGCAAATGATTTTCTGTAGCAGACCAAATATTTAAAGTCGTACAGTTAAGCATAGAAAATGTAAGAATCTGTTTGTTGTTGGTTAATTTTTTAAAAAGTATTTGAAGAAATTGAAGTCTTGCAGACTTTAGATAAGGTTTCTCCCACATGTACATTAAAATTATGCAAAATAATGAGTTTGTAGTCATAAGTTTGCTGATCCACTGAGGGTTGATAGGTGTGTTCCAGTGTCTTGGAAGATGTGTAAACAAGAGAATCATTCTTCATGGATGATAGTTTTACAAATGTTCCTTTTTATAGATGACAAGGTACTTATTATATGGAGTCCCAGAACACTTCAGAACCTCCTTCATGAAATCCAAAGCAAGGCAACAGAAATTATTTTAGCCATTCACACTTTAGGAAAGCTAAAGTTCATGTTGCCCAGACTCTGACATACAACTAGACTACAGCCTACTGGATTAGTCCATTGGCAAACTGTTTTTCACGGATAAGACACTGAGCTATGTCTATAATGGGATGGAGGAAAAGATTGAGATGAATTACCCTTGGAAAATTAATGTTACTTGTCCTACACAAAAAATGCTAAAAAAAAAAAAAAGCCTTTCTCTTCAACACAACTGTTCCCTGCTTGCCACTCTATGTCTACAAATCATAGAACACTATAATCTCAGAAAAATTCAACTTAGAACTAATCCAGTGAGCAGTGGAACTATACATGGTAGGACAAACAGACTATAGCATTTTTCCAGTGATAGCTTGCATACATAAAAATAATTTTCAGTACATACAAGACAGGACTGGAAAAGGAAGCTGACTGGTCATGTAATGAGAAAGACAATAGACAGACAATCCAACTGCTGTTATATCAATATCTTTGTACCTTTGATATATTAAAAGATTAAGAGGAAAGACCTCCAGTACATTTGGTAGACCTTCAGTGGAAGATTTATGGGAAAAGATATGGACAGGAATCACACATAGGATGAGTTATGAAAGGATTATGACTGGTACTCGTGAAAAGATTACCCCTACTGAGAAAAATCACAGTTCATCAAAGTATCATTGTTACTATTATTTGTTATAACATTATTTTCTACATTGGTCTGCTGGCTATTTTCCAGGATTATGACAATGATCTTAACCAGCCACCTAATCTCAAGTATGGTTCAAATCTCACAGCCATGAAGAAGGTTGTGTACACTATTGCCGTTATGTATATTGGGCTTTCCTGGTCAGATTGATATAAAACCTTAATCATTTTTAAGCTGACCCTGAGGCACAATTTGTGACAGTATGTTTAAGGTAAAGTTTGGCCTAACTATCCATGTAAGGGGAAAAAAAAACCCAACAATAGATGAAACTTGCCTATTGTCTGCAGTTAGAGGGAAAACCTAGAGTTTGTCTATTAACAAATCGGTAAACATTTATTGAATCCTTACTACGTGCCAGCCACTATACTAAGTGCCAGGAATATGAAGACAAAGCAAAACATTGTCCCTGCATCATATATATTGGACACACATTGCCAATAGATTAAAAAGTTGAACAGGAAAAAGAGAGTGGGCCAAATTGTTTTGGGAAATTATTTTCTTAATAATGACAAACTTCCCTCAGAAACAAACTCCCACCTTTTTAATACAAATACCCTACTTTTTAATACAAACGAGCTGTTTTGGTATGATCCCTAGTCAAGGAATATGAGGGTTCTTGAAGAATAAAAAGTGAGGGTCACTCAGAGGACAATGGAGAAAACTGGTGATTATGAGGAGACTGCATCGTGTAAAGAAGGAACTTGAAGAAGGACCAGAGTGAAAAATCATAAAAAAATGTAACCAAGTAAAGAAGATAGGCTGCTCATGTGAGAATAAGGGATAACAGGTAGAAAGCCAAGTTACTGCACTGGAATCCTTATGATGTCAGGAGAATGTGAGGCACTGTAGCACCATGGGTGGACAGCTCAGGGGCAGACTTCTGGGCAGACGTGAATAGGAGTCACACAAGTTGGACAGAAATGAATGGGTTAAGTTCTGTATTTGATGAATATCCATGTTGATGAGATCAAGCATTATCTTGTTTAAAAGCAGTAATGGGAAGAGAGGTGGAGGTAATTCTAAAAGCAGGAGGTCTCAACTCTAAAAATGACTTTGAGCAATTTCTGCCCCCATATGATTATCCTGCCTTGCTAATGATGTTTAGTTATGCTCTAGTATTTTATATGAAATACTGACATTAAGAACAGGACTCTGAAACAGATTCCATGGTCTTATCTAACTGTTTCCAACTAATGCCAGAACCATATTTTAGTCCTGAAGCATTTGCCAAATAACTGTAAGATCCAGATGCTTTAGAATTAATGATTATACATTCTGTTGAGTTAGCCTTTTACTTAAAAAAAATACATTTTATTAGTTCTGCAGAAAAGACACATAATGTTAAGTATCCTCTTAAAGCAAATACCTTTTCAAGGACATAGTCTGTAGATTACTTCAGTTCTCTAAAATAATCACCCTAGTTACAGTGGATTTCATTATAAATGTTATGTTGGAAGAGAAATAACCAGAACTACTCAGCTAAGAAAAAAACCTGTGCATATAAAACTGTGGCCATTCCACACTGTTAAAGCTACCCCATGCAAGGATCTAAATTGTAAAATAATCCTTGGATAATGGATTGTTTCTTCCTTTTTTATTTCCTTACTCACAGCATTTAATTTCATTTTCTTTCAGAGGATTATATCTGTTATGCTCATGGCCTAATATCTGAATATATACCTAAGGAATTAAGTGCAGACTTGGCTAAATACTTAAAGTAAGTATGATTCATGTTTTGTTATGCTCAGGAAGTGTGCTGCCTCTTGTCACCCAAGAAAAAAATTCCCTTGATATCCAAAAGGAATTGCTTATCGAATGATAATTTTTGATAATAAGGTTTCCACTTATTCCATGTCAAATATTGGATGGTTTGGAGGCTCTTTTTATAGTTTTTGATGGTTTGACATTCCATACATCAAAACCAATTCATATCAAAGGATGAAATGAAGAGTTAATGTGATTTACAAAGACAAATTTATTACATTTATTTTGATCCCCAAATTACTCTTATTTCAGAGCTGCCCTGTAAATTTGCATTGTGATAATTGAGGAAGAGAAAAAAAATTAGTTATGGGCTGCTGTTTTAAAAAGCATCGGATTTTAAGGTTCCATTAAATTTCTTTGTGAAATAAAAACTATCCTGCTGTATGACAAAAAAATGCTGGATTTGGAAGCAGGACACTTGTGTTGAGAACCCAGCGAACATGGGCCGATGGTCAAGTCACTCTTTAGGTCTTTGAGCTTCAGTTCCTCATCTGTAAAATGGTGGTTCTAATACTTGTACTTCCTTCCTTACAGGGTTATGAGGAAAATGTTTAGTAAAACTGAAAGTTCTCCATATATGTGTAAATTGTTGCTGCTATTATATGTTTGTGTATGTATGCTGAGCAAATTGGTGGTGCGATGGATAGAGTATTGGGCCTGCAGTCAGGAAGACTCATCTTCCTTAGTTCCAATCTGGCCTCAGACACTCCCTAGTTGTGTGACCCTTGGCAAGTTGCTTAACCCTGTTTGCCTCAGTTTCTTCATCTGTAAAATGAGCTGGAGAAGGAAATGGCAAACCACTCTTATATTTGCAAAACACTTATATTTGTTAAGAAGCCCTCAAATGGAGTCACGAAAAGTTGAAAATAACTGAAAAACAACTGAACCACAATAATATGTATTCTGTTGTATGCTATTATATGTTTGTGTTCTATTGTATATTGTAGCTCCTTGGAAGGAGAGAGTATTTAATTTGTCTTGTATTCCCAGAGTTTAGTGGCACATAGTGGGTGCTTAATAAATGTTTGGTTCTCTGCTCTCTATGTCATAAGAAAGATGTATACCCACACACAGGGAACACAATCTGAATTGTAGCACAGTGACTCTGTAGCTAGGGGACATGCTTTTCACTGGAGTATGCACTGTTTATATATGTCTTGAGGGATACAGGAGAATAAGGTGATCAGCGATGGTTAGTTCCTTTGTCCCAAAAATGAAGGTATAGACACTGCCGCCAGTTAATCAATGAAGCATTCTAGGGATAAATGAGGTATTCCTAGCTAGGTGTGAGGGATACAGATGTGATACATGAAACAATGCCTACTTGAAAGGAACTTACACTCTAATTGGGAAGCCAAGAACGTGTGTGTGTAGGTGTGTGGGTTTACATGTGTACGTGTGTACAGAATAAGTGATATGAAGATAAAATAAATAATAATAAATATATAATTATAATAATATAATTATACATAATATAATAATAAAAATAAATGAACAGAATAAGTGCAGAGTAGTTAAGGTAGTTTCAGAAGGAAGTCACTAGCAGTTGGGTTAAACAGGAAAGGCTTCATGTAGATAGATTGCAAACTCTTTGAGGGTAAACAGTGATTTTATATCTTTTTTTGAGTCTGTATTGCTCTCCTCATCCTTCTCTAGCAATATATGTATATATATATATATATACATATATATATATATATATGTATATATATGGTATGGGTCTGTAATAAAGACTGCTGATTGACTAGCAGATTTTTATGGGTCTCAGAGAACAGGCACCATGATCTATCATATGGCCTTGGTATTGAATCTGAGACCTGGAGCTTTTCTCTCTGAAGCTAGCTGATAATTTTCATTCACTTAGTTATTTGCCACCTTGGAAGACCTGGTAGCAATCACGTAAGAGATTAAGTAGACAACCCATTACATGGGACAGCCACAAATAAGGTCTATGACACATGTATAACTTAATGTTTCTTGAGTTTACTTCTCTGGATGCTCTAACTTTTTTCAGTCATGGAAAGTGCCAATCTGTGTTAAATTTGTGCATTTACCAGGAACTTTGCCAGTTCATTTCTTAATGAATTATGTAGCTTTGTTAATGAGTTGTGTAGCTTTGTTTCTTAGTGGAGAACTTGTACTAATTAGAAATTTGATTTTTGTCTTTGATCCTTTCCCATCCCAATTTGCATTTACTTTTCCCCCTTCCTTTTCTGAAAAAACAAACAGAAAAAAGCAAAATAAACAAGTTTCTCTATCAAGTCAAGTCCAAAAATGAAATAATTACTATTTTTGTTCATGGTTACAAATTACCTGTTGTTAAGTAGGCAATAAGTTTTTGGAATCTACTATACAGTGTACAATAGGTAAAAAATTAAATCTTCAGTGATTTGTGGAGCTTAAATGTCAAAGGAGTGTGTGTGTGTGTGTGTGTGTGTGTGTGTGTGTGTGTGTGCTGTGGTGTGTTAAAATGTGGACTACCTAGGTTAGAATATGAATGTCGATTAGAAGATCTGGCTTGTATTAGAATAATTTTAAGTTTTTTAAAATCTGAATGTGTTAATAAAGTGTCCAAAATATTGTTGTGGAGATGGTTAGCCTATCTAAATTATTTTTTCCTTTAACTCTAGAAAGATATATAAATGAAACAGTTGTCCTTCCATATCATTTGGTGTTGCAAATACATTGCCTTTCTTTAGATCCTTATTCCCATGATTTGGATTCAGATCCTGATTCTATTATATTATTAAAGTGACTTTGGAAAAGTGAACCTTGGTTTTGTCATTTGTAAAATGGGGTTTGTAATATTTGTACTGTGTAATTGTACTGTGTACCTCATTTGGATTTGAGATGTGTGTAAAGTTTCCTTAAACTATAAAGCTCTATAGGAATGTGAGCTATTATATAATTATTCACTTAACTCAGAATAATTAAAAGTACAAGTAGCCCAAAGGACAATGGAAATAAGTAGATATAGATAGATAGATAGATAGATAGATAGATAGATAGATATAAGTAGCCTGCTGCATTTCCCCAGTCATTACTCATACTCAGGAAGTACCGTGAGGCATCATCCATCATATGTATGACCAGAAAAGGAGGGAGGTGTGCCATGTAGTGTCAATGGACAATAATACTTGAGCAGCTCGAGTACTTGTAGCAGAAAAAATTAGAGGGAAATCGCCAGTATGCTGGATGGGATGCCCATGAAGGACAGTCTATACGGTAGGAGGGCATGGATCAGAGTTGCTCAGAATGAGAAGGCTTGGGGGACTTGTGATCTTCCCCTATGGAGGGAGTATCCACGGCTCCATTAGAATTTAAAAGTATTTTGTGTGGTTGGTACCAATATAGTAATGGAAATAGCATGAGATAGTAGAAAACTACAAGGTTTGGAATCAAAGGACCTGCCACTTCCTCCCTGTATGACCTTAGGGGAAGTCTCTTTGTTTTTCTGGGTCTCAGTTTCTTCATTTGTAAAATGAGGGTATTGGACTAGATGATCTTACAAGGTCTCTTCTGGCCCTAAATCTGTGATCCTAATAATAGCTCACATTTTTGTAGGAACTTACATATTTACAGATTTATCTCTACAAAGAGCTCTCTCTTTCCTTTTTTTTGGTTGATTGCCTATTAAGGTCAGCAGAGATTTCAAGGTGAATCATGAAAATGGAAGCTAAGTCTTACATTTGCCCGGCCCCCTCCATTTGATTGTGGGTAAAAAGCCATGACAAAGATCTCTTGTTTTCTTAGGCTTCCAGAACTTTCTGCTTCATTGCCTGAGCCTCCATTAAAGGTAAGAAGCTGTGACTAATTTATCTTTGGGGGGCTTGGAAAAATATTAAGCTTTTATCACATGAGATTAAACATTGCTTATGTACAATTTTATGCATGCTACACCCACCACACACGGTGTAAGTCTGTATGGGATATGGATTACATTCTGCCTACTGTTTTTAAGAATTTTGAAAATGTCTATAGTTTTGGTAAAAGGGAAACACTTAAGTTACTCCCAAGGTGGTATATAAAATGTCACTAGAGCTAATGTAGCAGGATAACTTTATAAGACTAACCCAGAGGTGAAATTAAGGCGAAGAAAAAAGAGCCCTTTTGCAAGCTTGCTTAAACGTTCTGCATTATCGGTTACAAGAAATACTCAATCCATATAAGTTGAAACTCATTTGATTTACATCCCATTGACACCAAGAACACGAACAACCAGAGTATGGTTTTTCTAACACAAAGAACCATTTGTGAGGGAATAATAACCACATTTTTCTTTATTTTAAACGATCAGGGAAATTTGTATAGAGTTTTCATCTGTTATTAGGAACAGTTTTCCTAGTCCAAACAGTCTACAAACCGCCACCCACAGCTGCTCCACAGCGTGGGCTACGGCTTGTATCTGCCTCCCAGATCTGTAGGCTCAGAGAATCTAGCCATAAACAACACCTGATCTTTAAACATGGCCACACACAGGCAACACAAGGGTTTTGGAGAAGTACGCAACTCAGATGCAGGGAAATAAACACTCTAACTTGCTTGTCATCGGTACCATTTTCTTGGAGCTTGGCTATAGCCCCTCCAGTGATGTCCCTTGAGAGGGAATAAAGGACAAGTCGCAGGTTTCCAATAGCATTTCTTTTAGCCTTCCAAATACAACCATATGCTGCCTGATTTGGAAGTAGACAACGCTTTCCTGGCTCCAGTTTTTGGGATACAGAGGCTCTGCAAAGAAGTAGCTAATTTGACATTTAATAAAAAGTCTGATTGACATGTTTGACCAGTGACAGTGGTAATTCATCCTCTGCAAGTTGTCAGCGTCTTAGGATGTCCTTTAGGCATGTGACTGCATTTTCAGTTCACGAGCAGCATGTTTCACCGTCATCTTTTGGATTCATCGTTCCTCATTGCTTTTTTAGAGTTCTGAAGTCTTGCGGAGTTGTTTTGTCTATAGTGTTATCATTATTCTCATAAATTTATAAAAGTCTTCCTAGTTTCCTCCAAAGTTGTCTATTTCATAATTTCTTATGGCATAATAATATTCCATTTTATTCATATGCCACAATTTGTTTAACCATTCCCTAATGTGAGGATATGCTGTTTGTTTTCCGTTTTTGGCCTTTACAAAAAGAGCTGCTATAAATATTTTTGTACATACAGGTCCTTTTCCTTTTTCTTTGATTTCTTTTGGTAACTTTCTGGATGTCGTTCCAAATTGCTTTCCAGAACAGTTGAACCACTTCACATCTCCACTGGTCATCACCTAACATACCTGTTTTCCCATAACCCCTACATCAATTTAGTCTTCTGTCATCTTTGCCAGTCTGATAGATATGAGGGAAAACCTCAAAATGCTTTACTTTGCATTAATCTAATTATTAGTGATTTAGAAAATGTTTTCATATGATTGTTGATAGCTTGTATTTCTTCCTTTGAACATTCATATCCTTTGACTATCTTTAGGGAATGGCTTTCAGTCTTATACCTTTGAATCATTTCCTTATATATCTTGGAAATGAGACCTTTATCAGGGAATATAAAAAAACATATAAACAGTTATCCAAAAAGTACTTTTCAGTCTTTTTTACATTTTGGATATTGAGTTCCACAAATTCACTCTTTTCTGTGAAGAAGTACTTTTCATTTATCCCAAATTTAACATTTTCAATTTATCTCTTCACATTCTCATTTCCAGAATTTATCTCTATAGTCATAATTTTACCTTTTGAAACTTCTGTTTTATGCCCTCCGAGATTCCATCTTCCCAGACTGAAGGTTGCTAAATTATTTTTTGGTTGTCCTTATCAGTTCTTCCTCATGTTGGTCACTTTAGCTGCCCTCCAAGCCTTCTCTAACTTTTCCAGTTCCATTGTGTCTTTCTTGTGGTTTGGCAGCCAGAGCTAAAAAGGTGTGGGACACACTGTTGTTTCATTCAAGGATAGAGAAGTGTTTTCTTCTTGTCTCTAATACTACACCTAATGATGCTCTCCACACCATATCAACCTTTGGGTCCACTGCACATTGTGTCGAACTGTCTCAAAGATAAATATAGTATAATGACAAACCACAGCTAAAGACCTATAAACCTATATTTCTCTCAGTATAGAAGCTTAGGGACCACATGCAGATCTTTTGCAAGTCATTTATAAAAATGTTAAATAAATTTGATTTCAGCACAAGTCCTAATGGACTCACTGTTTACAGTGCTTCATCCAGAGAAGTGCCTTATTTCTTCTTTCAGAATAATTTGTCCATTTCTCTGATCATAACTTCCTTTCCCTCCGCTTCTCCTTTTTCCTCCTAAAATTAGTCTTCATCCTTACCACAACTTATATTCAACTTCTCCCTACTTTCCCTGCCCACCATACCTATTATGGCCTCATCCTGCTGCTCACTTTGAAATCTTGATGCTATAGGTAACTATATACCCTATGCTTTACCCATAAGACCCTTTCTCCCTTGTCTTAATCACTGCTAATCCCATGTCAGATCCTAAACTTGTATTGCCCTCAATCACTCTATATTCCAGCCAAAATGACCCATTTGTTCTAACAATATGGCATTCCATCTCCCACCTTTCCATAGGCTGTCCATCAGCCTAGCGCCTGGAATACACTCCCTCTTCATCTCCACCTTTTAGAATAGAATCTTCCATCAGGGCTTAGCTAAAACACCACTTCCTATTTGAAGACTTTTCTGATCCCCCTAGTTTGTGCTCTTTCCTTCTGCAAATTATCTTGTAATTACTTTTCTGTTTATATATAATATTCTCTAATAGAATGTAAACCCCTTGAAGGCAAGAACTTGATCATTTTTTTTCCTTTTCAATCCCCAGTGTCTTGCTTATGTTAACACAACGTCTTGCTTATATTAGGTCCTTAATAAATGTTTTCTAACTCAATATTCTATCTACCATAATAAAAAAAAAACACATTTCCCATTCCCATGGAGACTGTGTTTTTTACAGCTAAAAATCTAAATATATGTAGCAGTCATGGTTTGTTTAACATATGCACAAAGTACGGTAACTCCTGCACTGAGTAGTTAGAAGCCAGACCTATCCAAAGAGCTTACAATGTTTGTTTTTCTTTATTACAAATAATTATAGCAGTATTTATATGATGTTAATCCCCTAGCCCATCTAAACAAAACAGTCATCGTCTTAGGAAGAATTTCATATTCAAAGCAAATAGTTTTCATTTTGGAACCTCTCCATTCAACTTTGCTATGGGATAAACCCATTAAAAAGAAACCATGATATAAGTAAGCAGTGGTGATATCTCCTAGATTTAAAATGTTTTAGCACCTTAACAGGAAAATTACTGTAAACATCCTCACAGCCTGGGTTTTTTTAAATCCAAATCTGAAGATGTAGGTTTTAGCCTTACTGGTAAACTACCAGATAGTAATTTTTTTGGTTTGTTCCCCCCACCCCACTGCAGAAAAGCCCCTTTTCAGGATTAGTTTTCTTGACCTCAAAGTTATCTGTGAATTTAAATTTTAAAATGTGCCCTTATGTGTGAATCTCCATCTTTTTTTAGACTGTTGTTCATGTGTTTTCTGACATTTGTTTACAATTGCACACCAAGAAACAAAATATATTATTAATATAATTAAAATCATAATAATATATTATGAAATATTAATAGTATATTTTACTGGGAGAAATAGTAAAAGAGAAGCATTGTTTTTAATTCCCTCTGAGTTCCATGTTAATATAGCTACTTTTATCCATAAGTTACAAAACTTTTCATAATAAGCAACATCTCTCAAAAAATGTTTCCTGCAAAAATTCAAGAGTCAGAGATGGGCCATGATCAGAGAGTAAGTTGGAGACAGTTCTAGGATCAGCCTCCTTGTTTCTATAAGAACATGGATGCCACGTACAGGTCTCCATGGAGTTTATTACTTGCATTTTTGTTTGAGAGTGCAGTTTCTAGGAACCTCTACTTCTTGCAACCTCTGTTCCCAAAGGGATGCATCTTCTGTGTTTAGAGTACTGCTTGTATTTGTTTAGCTTCATGGAATGTGAGCCCACCATCTGGGCTTTTGACAAGATGTCCACTTTCACTTGGGCACAAGGTCAATGTTAAAAGTGTAAATATTAACCTGCATAAATACTTGACTGTTGCCAGTGTGGTCTTATGGGAAAATCAAGCACTGATTGTCGAGGAAGGCAGTTGGGATTGTAATTCCAGCTCTACTACTAAGGGCCCTTGAGCAATCACCTAACCTGTCCACACCTTGATTTCCCGACTTACAATACAAGGTTATGAATACCTATCCTAACCACCTTATAAGGTGGTTCTGATGTGAATAAAGTAGGTCACTTGACAGCATTGAGTTTAAAACTGTGATTATGACCAAGCTTGGCTCTAAAGAAAAGAGGACAGGAAAAAAAATACACACACACACACACACACATCTTCTTTATAGAGGTCAGGGAGAGGGGAGTCTGTGCATTGTTTAATACTACGTATATCGTCAGACTCAGTGTAGTTTTACATTGCTGCTTTTTGTCTCTTTCATTCATTGATATAAGGGATAGCTCTCTGTGGAGTAAGGGGAAGAATATATTTGGAAGTGAATACGATATAAAAACAAAAGATAACAGTTTTTAAAGCACATTTAAAAATCAAGCTATGTAAGATAGTTTCAGGTATGTTATTAGTATTCATAAGGGATACCAGGGGGCAGCTAGGTGACGCAATGTATGGAGTGCCAGGTCTGGAGTCAGGAAGACTCCTCTTCCTGAATTCAAATCTGACCTCAGGCACTTACTAGCTGGGTGTC